AGAAATGAATGAGCATTAAAAATGAGGATCACCTGGAGAAAGTTTTCTGACTTTTTGGAAAAAGTTGCAGTATTGAGGTGCAAGATCCTGGATGGAAAAAAGTTTTGACTTTGATAAGGTCTGGATCAACCTTTCCCAACGGTCCCTCATTGTTTCATATGCAAAATCAAATTTCAGAAGTTTCAGAGCTCTTAATTGAGTATCACGTGAGACGCCCATTTCTGAGAAGATCATATAAGTTATCATTCTTTGGTATTCAGCCTCATCCTTTACTAATGCCCACCTAAAGAAGGAACAACAATGTGATGACTTGAAAAATATACTTAAATTTTTAATCATGTATATAATATAAAGATGTCACATTTAGCCTTTCTTATTTTTCACTATTTTTTTTTCTCACTTACCTAATTTGTCTCACTTCTCTTGGATTCAAACATATAGGAGATGCATGGAAGATGCTATTTGGAACGGCTGGAGCAATGATGCCTGACTATGAGGATGTTGAAACCATTTGATGTTAAGGCTGCTACTATTTGGAGCGGCTAGAGCAATGATGCCTGACTATGAGGATGTTGAAACCATTTGATGTTAAAGCTGCTAGCGAATATTTTGTAGTTTTTTAAAAAAAATTAGAGATTTTTATAGTTTCATTATGAAATTAAGAGCTTGAAGTTTTTATAGATTTTATAGTGCTATTGTTATAATTCTTTTTCTGAACTTGATATTGGTATAGAACATATTAACTGTGTTCTTTTTATTAAGAATTTGTCCCATTTGATTCAGAAAAGTTGCATACACAATCTCCCTTTTTTTTTTTCCTTCATACCTTAGACTTGCAACATAGAATGTTTTAATCATACAAATCAAACCGAGCCCAAAATAAAAACATAATAATAAAAATAAAAAATCAAACGAGTATTAGGGATAGTTTTTAGCTGTCGTAGATTTAAAAATAAATAAAAGAATTATGTATTAGGGACGGTATTTACTATCCCTAATACTATATGTAATTGGGGACAGTCACCAAAACTATCCCTAGTATATAAATGATTAGTGACGGTTTTTATTGTCCTTAATACCTTTTAGGGACAGTATTATTTGGGACAGTAGTACCGTCCCTAAAGGTCGAGTTTTTTGGGGACTGTCATTTTTTACTATCCCTAAAGATCTTTTGGCACGCAACAATTAGGGACGGACGATTTTGATCATTAGGGACGGTCTTGGGGTTTTTAGGGACAGATTTGACTGTCCCTAAAAACCAAATTTCTTGTAGTGATGTTTCAAGAAACATCTATTTAATCATGCAAACCAATAAAGTTATATATACATATGCTCACATATATATAGTAACTTTCAAGTCAAATATACTGGGGCGGAAATCAAGGCAGCAAACCAAAATAAATTCTTTGGTAAGCAAACTGATCAAAAACATACTCTAGAGACTAATTGGACATTATACAATCATAGCCACGATTTCAATCAAAACATATCAACGATTTCAAAATAATGAATTATATAATATATCATTTAATTTTTTATTTTTATTTATGTAACTTTAGAGAAAAATCATGAGTTCCTAAACCATAAGCTCTGATACCACATGTAAACTATAATTATTTGTGCAAATCGTTAATCACAATATTTATATGAATTCTAAGATCTTAGAACTTCATGATTTTCACATTTCTATAATGCATAAATAAATGGTTAGATATAAATACCTCAATTCATTATATCAAACCTTGTTGAGATTAAATTCAACATCTAGATCCTTTAACCACGAACTAATCTGTAACTCTGATCAACAGGCAAAGGTAAAAACTGGTTTCTCTCTCTTAACCTTTTGCACACATAAAACTTTTACGTGTTGTATCATTAATTATACATAATTGATGGAGTATATGTACTTTTATAAAGGCAGAGAGAGGACCAGTTTTCCTTTTAGTAACATAATTCTACTTTCCATCACAGTAAGGAATAAGAAAAGAAAACACTTCTCCAATAAGTAATTACCAAAAAAGTAATTATAGGTTGACCATAAATAAATAATATTAATTGATATCTATTTACTTAGCCACCAAGTAATATGTCACATGTCCAAATCACGTGGGCCACAATTAAATAAATAATCTTACATCCTATAGAACCATGGGATTTTATTTAATCAGATATTTATTATTTTATTTAAGAATGTTGCGTGTCAAGAAAAATGGAGTCACATATCAACAAAGTCACACCACTTTGGCGCGTTTCTAGAAAGTCAAACATGTAGCCCTCGTCTGTGAAGGGTTCAAGGGAGGTGTTTCATAATTATTTTACATCCATTAAAAAACAAAGCACATACCATTATAAATATTCGTTGCCACAAACCCATTAATCCCCACCAACAGATCCTAAAACCTTCAGCAAAAGTGTTACATTTCACTGCTTAATTCTTATAGTGCTTACAAGCATACATAGCACTGCTCATATTTCACTCCCGGCCACCACTATTTCTTTCAATACCATATTTCTAAACAAGTCAATCTTTATAAAGAAGATTAATGGCAGAGAAGGAGCAGCAACCAGGGCATAACTCGGCAACACCATATAACTATGGCCGAGCAGACGAAGAGTCACAAACCAAAGAACTTAAACGCCAGAAACGCAAGAAACTTATTCTATATATTGCTGCATTCGCTGTGTTCCAAACCATTGTTATAGTCATCTTTTCACTCACTGTCATGAAGGTCAAAACTCCCAAGTTCCGCGTACGTGCTGCCTCATTCGAGACGTTTAGTGTCACGGCTTCCTCATTTGACATGAGAATGAATGCTCGACTTGGTGTCAAGAACACCAACTTCGGTCCCTACAAATTCGACAATAGTACCATTACCTTCTACTACAGGGGTGCAGAAATAGGGAATGCTTTTGTTCCTAAGTCAACGGCTAAATTTCAATCAACCAAAAGGTTCAATGTTACAATAAACCTATCATCAACCAATTTACCAACCAGTTCAGAATTAGGAAGTGATTTCAATTCTGGGATTTTGCCACTTAGCAGCACATCAAGATTGACCGGAAAGGTGGAGCTAATGCTGGTGATGAAGAAGAAGAAAGCTATCAATATGAATTGCACCATGGAAGTTAATATCGCCAGCCAGCAAATCCAGAATTTGAAATGCAAATGATAAATATTTGTGTTAATATGCCTAGTGTTTAATTCCTGAAAATTCTTTTGGTTCTCTTATTCTTTGTATTTTTTTTTCCTCAATATATTTGAGTGTGCACTTACTATATATTTTTTTGCGCCATCCTTTCCTGCTTTTTTTTAGTTCATACGCGTGTTTTTTTGAGACAATATAATATAACACTCACAAATGGCATTTCCATATAACATTTGCGGGATGAAAGGGTTCCTAAATGGCGACATATTACTTTCTTTAATGGTATTTGAAATCTACGACCCAAACAATTTTTTTTATAATACTTTGTTTTCATAATAGCTTGCATATCATTAATTAGTCTTAATATAGAATTCGTCAAAAGGTTTTGTTTTTATCCAACCCAACATGGATGGTGCCAGCATGGGTCTGGGGAATGCTGGTTCATTAATTTTTTCTTTTAAATGTATAAAATTTATAAAATACATGCCTCCTCGACCATGCTTACCCATTAAATTTTTTATTTTCAACGTATATAATTTTCTTCATTTCTTTAATTCTCTTCAAAAAAAAAATATATTGCATTTCCTTTCTTGAATTGATTTTATCAAATGTGAACATACCCCCTAAACCATATTCCTGACTCTATCCCTGGATCCTAAGATTTTGTAACTTAATAGTTGATCAGTATTTAAATTTTAGAGATTTTGATTCGGTTGTACATTCTTTTAAAAAAATCAAACTTCTTTAAAAAAATTAAAAATAAGTTCACAATTCTACCGAATTCCGTAATACTGCGGTTGGTTTGCGGGAATTGAATAGAATGCAAATAGGAACGGAATGAGAATGAGAATGGGAATGGAATGGAATAAAATGTCCATTCTCATTCTATTGTTTGTTTGCAAAGATGAAACATGTAGGAATTGAATGATAATAATCATTCTATTGTTTGGTTTGACCAACTTAAAATTTAGAATGAAATGAATTTCAATTTCAATTCTCAAAATACCCCAATTGCTGACAAATAAATAAAATTAATGAAATATCATTCTACTATAATTTTTTTAAAAGAAAATATGACGGTGGTAGATGGTGGTGTTGATGGTGGTGGAGGTGGAAAGTGGTAATGGTGTAGGTGGTGGTGTTGGAAGGTGACGGTGGTGACAGAAGGCAGTAGTGGTCTTGGTGGAAGATGGTGGCACTGGCGGTGGTGGGAGCAGTGGTGGTAAGGCGTCCATAGTGTAGGTGATGATGGTGGAAGGCAGTGGCGGTAGTAGTGGTGCTGGAAGGCGGCAATGGTGTACGTGGTGTTGGTGGTGAAAGTCAGTAGAGGTGACAATGGTAATGGTGGTGGAAGGTAGTGGAGGTGGAGCTGGCCGTGGTGGAAAACGATTGTGGTTGTAGAGGTCGGTGGTGGCGGCGGTGGTGATGGAGGTGGTGGCGATATTAGTGGAGGCGGCAGCAGCGGATGACAGTGGAGACGATGATGGTGTAGTTGTGGTGGAAGGCGACGACAGTGGTGATGGTGGCAGTGGTGGAAGGCAGTATTGGTTTAGGTGGAAGGTGGCATTCGTGGAATGCGTTGGTGATGATGGCGGCGGTGATGGTAGCAGTAATGGTAACGGTGGTGGTGGCAATGATGGTGGTGTAAGGCAATGGAGGTAGCGGTGGTCGGTGGTAATGGTGGAAATCGGTGGTGGTGATGAAAGGCACTGGAGGCAGTAGTGTGGTGCTTAAAGACAACAACAGTGGTAGCAGTGGTGGAAGGCAATGGAGGTGGTAGTGGTGAAAAGCGGTGGTGGTTGTGGTGGAAAGTTACTGTGATAGTAGTGATGGTGACGGCGGTGGTGGAATGAGTTAGTGATGATGGCGGTGGTAATGGTGACAATGGTGGAAGTCAATAGAGGTGGTGGTGGTGGTAGAATGCAATGGTGGCAGCGTCAATGTTGTAGATGAAAACGGCAACAATGGTGGCGATGGCAATGGCGGTGGTGGAAGGCAATAGAGGTAGCGATGGTGAAAGGTGGTGGTGGAATGCAATGGAGGTAGTGATGGTGAAACACGGTGGTGGAAGGTGGTGGTGGCGGTGAAGGTGGTGTAAGGCAGTGGTGGTTTTGACGAGGGTGGTGGTAACGGTGGTGGTGGTGGTTTTTGAACTTGGAGCATGAGCGTTTTTGGAAATTGATTTTTTTTAAAAAAAAATTATTTGGGAATGTAATGACTAATCCATAGGTTTAGTTGTGGAATGGATTTTCATATGTATTTTCATTCCAATGGAATACCCATTCTAACTTTAAATTGCATACCAAACAAAGGAATAATTGGAATGGACATTCTGTTCTATTCCATTCCTGCACACCAAATGCAGCATAAGAGTATTCAAGTCCCTTGAATTATAATTAACCACAACTTTGTTACACCAAGCTATAATATGTTTAGGTACACTTTTCCTAGTTGGATGAGTAAAAAAAACCAAAATTTCACATCCAATGGTTTAAGAAAAGCTCTCATTCGGACTTGCCAATAGTTATCGTTAAACTCTCCAAATAAATTTGACTTAGATATGAACTCACCTTCCTTAAGACCTTTCAAAATCTAGAAAGTACTTTAGAGCAACCCACTATGATAGTAATTAATAGCTAGTTTGTTAGACCATAACCCTAAAATCTAATAGAGAGTTGCGTAAGGTTTGTGGTCTTGATCTAGAAAGTGAAATGGTTTCATCTATTACAAAGATGGATGTTAAGTTTTGAATTCTTTGAGGGCTCCAAGTCCCTAGGTTCAAAACTAAGTGAATACTCAATTATATAGTCTTGGTTGGCCTTTTTTTTTTTTTTTTTATGGGCGTGCCGGGGTCTATTTCGACCCAAATTGTTGAATGGATAACCAAACTATCCTTGAATGCAACCGAATCAAGAAATCGGCCTCTAGATGGAATTAGGCGATTGTTGGAAGGCAATGATGTGACCCTACCTTTAGGTTCTTCAGCATCTCAATTAAGAGGACTTCTAACAACATAAAATAAAGATAGAATTAAAGAAAGGAACAAAGCAAACTGTATAGGCGTTCTTCAATTCCAAATTTTGGAATAAACAGAGGAGACAAAGCGAACTATCCAAGCGTCCAATCATTCCAAAAATAACTTACGAAATAAAATAATGGAGACACAAAGATCCAAGCGTCCACTTTATTAAATAGGAAGTAATCTTATACAAAAGTATGAGAGACAGTGTTTGAATCAACTAAAACTACCATATGAAAGACTACATTATAAGAAAATACAGATTGTTATTTGGTCGGGAACCTTTACAGTCTTCTATAGCAATATTTATAGACAAACACCAGTTGAGAGTATTTTTGATAAGGGGAAAAATCACATAACCCCCCTATACTATCGTTTTCATTCAAAATGCCCCTACTAAAATTAACCCCCCTAAACTAACAAAACCCATCATTTTACCCCAAACCCGTAACCGACCCGTTAATTAGACTGTGAAATGACATATTTAACCTTATTATTTAATATTAAATTAAAATTAAAAATTATTTTTAAAGTGACTGTTTTACCCTTTCATTATTAACGAAACGACGTCGTTTGTTAGTACGGCCGACACCATATTCCCAAACCCTTTCCTCCTACAACACTCCCTCATGAACAAATCTTCCACATATAGACTCGGTTCTGGGTTTAATTAGGGATTGACAAAAAAACATTGGCGTGGACTGAGGCATAGATCATGTCCTGGATCTTTTTTTGATGGGAATTGAAATTGTTCTTGCGGATATAACTGCAATGGTAGTTGGTGGTACTCTTTCTTCGACCCATTCGGGGGTTAAGGCGACAGTGGGAGGTGGTGGTGTTGGAGGCGGTGGAACTGGTGGTGGAGGGTGGTTTTAGCGGTGGCGAACTGAAGCAGAGCAGACCCTGTACTTCGGAGTGACCCTGTACTTCTAGGTTTGCATCTTGACACCATCTCTTCTCTCTTTATTCTTGAATAACAACAACCTATTTTTATTCTCTCTCTAAAAATGCACATACACTCTCTCTCTATCTTTCTTCCTCTAAAACTAGACCCATCAGAGAAACAGAGCAGGATGATGATTTTGGATAAATTTTTTGTGACAGTCGTCTGTGTAGACACTAAAATTGTGTAGACACTAAAATTTAGTGGTCTTTGGTTTTAACAAATGAACCCATTAAATATGGGCCTAATGTTTAATTAAATTATTTAATTGGTCTAGGCTTGGTCCACTTAAATTATTTAATTAACCCAGCCCAGATGATTAAATGAAAAGATAATTATTCCTAATAAAATATGTTTGGATTAATTATTTTTAAAGATAATTATCATAATATAACTGGCCCAGCCTAGTTATGATTTCTTCCTTATCAGGAGGTGACACATGTCATCATCTTATTAATTCAACAAGCCTATAAATAGATGCCTGGAGAACGAAGAAGGGGTACACAAATTCAGAGTCCAGAAATCCAAAGACTCGGAAATCCAGAAAGTCTAGAAATTGAGATAATCAGAAATCTAGAGGGCTAGAAATCCCGAGGGCCAGAAATCCCGAGGGCAAACCTGAAGGCGAAGAACACCAAGCATATCCAAAGTCGTGCCATACTTCACCAAAATTAACAAATTCTCTCCTCTCTGAAGATGAAGAACAACAAGCACATCCAAAGACGTGCCGTTCTTCCTCAAATTCAACAAAGGACACAAATTCAGAATTCTGAACTCTAGAAACAAAGGACACAAATTCAAAATTCAGAAGTCCAAAAGTCCAGAGACTCAGAAGTCAGAGACACAAATTTAGAATCCAAACCCAAAAGTGAAGAACATCAAGCACATCCAACGACGTGCCGTTCTTCATCAAATTTCACGGTGAGTCAAGAATAAGCTCGTGCAGCCCTTGGATCCAACCGACAACAAAAAGGAGATTGAATCAGAGGACCATTCTTTTTGTAAAGAATATTATTACAGAGGATTGTACTACAATTGTTTACAAATTAATAAATTACGATTTGCTCCATATTTTGCCTTTATTTGCAGAGAACAAAATTTGTGTGTACAAATTTCTGGTACGCCCGGTGGGACCTCCTTTGCCTCTCATTTCTTTCTCCTACATCAAATCCTCAACAAATTCATCGTCAGATTCTATGACTTCCAATAAGATTCAGACGAAGAGCAAGAATATCACCAAAGACATCGCGGTCATGACGAACAACATCAATACCATCACAAAAGGTGGCAAGAAGGTTACAACTTCGTTAAGTGGTACAAACACCTCTACAAGTTCAATGATGTAGAGCATGGCCAAATCATCCGTTCTTACCAAAAGACAGCACGATGCGATGAGAGTCAATTCTGCCAAATCTGTCAAAGTAACAACTCAAACTCATACCGTCTTTACCTCGCTGGGGGCAAAGAGGAAGGTTTCTACAACCTCAAAGGTTGTTTTTGCCACAAGTTCAAGTTCCACCTCACTGGGGGCAAGGAGGAAGGTTCTTACAATCTCAAAGGTTGCTCCAGTCACAAGTTCAAGTTCAAGTTCAAGGCTGGTCCACCAAAGGCCAAAGATTTTTTCTGACTCCATCACTATGCCAGTCATGATGACGAGTACTACCTCGTACGAAGAGCAATTGACGACTATGGCCAGTGCAATTGAAAGATTACAACACTCTCTCAAGGAGCAAGATCTGAAAATTGCCTCGCTGACAGAAAAGTTAAAATTGTGTGACAACAATGCTAAGTCAAGCAAAGGCCGAATTTCTCATTCTAATTCCAAGCCAGAAAACACTCCAATTGATAATCAAAATGACGTGTCCGCCAATCCAACATTTGATGCTGCCTCCATCACCTCACTTTCTGTCCAACAACTTCAAGACATGATAATGAATTGCATAAGAGAACAATACAGTGGCATTCCTTAAAGTGATCACATGTACTCAAAGCCTTACACAGAAAGAATTGACATCTTAAAAATGCCGGTTGGGTATCAACCTCCAAAGCTTCAACAATTTGACGGAAAAGGCAATCCCAAGCAATATGTCGCACACTTTGTAGAAACTTGCGGCAATGCTGGTACAGGCGAAGATCTCCTTGTCAAGCAATTCATTCGTTCCCTAAAAGGGAATGTATTTGATTGGTACACAAACCTCAAAGCTAGAGGTATTGACAGTTGGGAGAAGATGGAACGAGAATTTCTCAACCATTTCTACAGCACTCGTCATACTGTAAGTATGCTGGAGCTTACAAACATAAAATAGATGAAGGGTGAACCCGTGGTTAACAACATCAACTGTTGGCGAGCTCTAAGTCTTGACTACAAGGATCGTTTGTCTGAAATTTCTGCAGTTGAAGCATGTATGCAAGGCATGCGCTTGGAGCTTTTTCACATCCTACAAGGGATTAAGCCTCACACATTTGAAGAGCTTGTTACTCGAGCCCACGACGTGGAGCTTAGCATGGAAAATCATGGTGCTAGAAAAGATGTTCTTGATATATTCGACAACCTTCAAGAAGATGAGGAAAGTGAATCCGAAGAAGAAGACACTATACTTCCTAACTCAGATGACGAAATAGCTTCATCTTTCATTGTAAGCATCATCACGAAAGACTTGCATCAAGAAACGCACCATGCTACAACAATGACTTCACAGGGGGCATTAAGTCAAGGAAACCAAGAAGAAATCCTCAAAGTGATGACGAGATAGTCCGTGCCCTCCAGTATAAGCTTGGATTGTCGCTTGATTCTTACAAAGTTGAAGAAAATTATTAAAGTTAAAGTGCTCCCAGATACAAGCCTAAACTGTCGATGATACTCCCTGACACGAGAATAAACTGTTAACTTGAAAAGAAAAAAAAATGACACTCCTCCACACGAGCTTAAACTGTCTACCTAAAAAAAAAAAATCAAGAACTTTTTGATACGAGTTTAAACTGCCTCCAAAAAATAAAATAAAATAAAATAAAAATGACACTCCTTGACATGAGTTTAAATTGTCTACCTGAAAAAAAAAATTCAAGAACTCCTTGATACGAGTTTAAACTGTCTAACTAAAAAACAAATCAAGAACTCCTTGATACGAGTTTAAACTGTCTCCCAAAAAAATAAAAAATAAAAAATAAAAATGACACTCCTTGATACGAGCTTAAACTGTC